TCAGTAGTCCATAATATAATGCAATATGCAGTCAGTACATCACATTGTGCATTGATATGTAATGAAATAATGTAAATAAAATAATATTCAAATAAAATATTTTTTGAAAAACAAGTCGAAAATGGATTTTAAAAAATTGTTTCATAAGAATTTCCAAAAATGTTTCAAATTTCAAAATGTCAGAATTTCCCAGACAACTTGGAAATTTCTCTGATATTTCAGATCTCTGATATTTATTTCTTCATAGGATTAATTAAAATAAAGTTATTTTAAAAGGCTTAGATCAAACCACAGGGTATACACTTAAATCCTAATCATGGTTCTTGTGAAGGCAGTTCTCCCTTTTTTTACTTCATACTTATATAAGAAAAACACTCATCAAATTCAGCTGGAGAATTTCTTTTGTAAAGAATATTGGGTTGGTGCTATTAAAAGCACAGGAAGTTTTACAAGTGCGAGGACTACAGAGTTAGCCCTCAAATTAAGTTAATTTGTGAGAAATGCATCAGTGTACTGAGCATGTTTAGCATGTACAATTGTATATCATAATCAACAAAACTTTTATGCTTCTACAGTCATAATAATATTATTGGTAGTTTGCCCTTAAATAGTGCTTTTCATCCATAGAGCTCAAAGCATTTGACCAAGAAAGGTAGATATTATTTTAGTTAATATTTGCATTATGGTAATATTTCAGAGCCAGAAAAGGACCCAAAAAGGTGGTTCTGCCCCCAAAGTAAATTTATATTTTACCTGGAAAAATATTGCTGTGCCATCTAGCCTCCAGAAGTTAGTGACTGGATAGCCACTGTGTCCTCGGCAAGGAATCAGTTCTAGAGCTGCATTACAGTTTGGACAGACTTTCTCTGCAAGATCAGATGAGGAGATTAGAAGAAACCCACATAGAACCTAACTGGATTCATAAATAAATCCTAACTTCATGTATTTTGCACCAAAAAGATAACGTAAGATAAAAAAGCATAGCTGAATGATATAGTATGTGTGGACCAGATAGCAACACCTGATATGAATCTATACGACTTGATATGACTTCATGGTTGTTTATATCTAGAACTAAAATCTATTATGTGAGCCCATCTCTATGCACTACCTGGAAGCACAAACAGTTCTGACATTTGGAACTACCAGTACTGTACAGTGTCTTTACTGCTGCTCTAATCACTAGTAGTAAGAGTAGGATGAAGCAACTGTGCCTGTGTTGGGGGTGTGAGATTCACTTGGACCTGAACTCAAGACCAGTTAGGAACACTTGTGTAGGGTTTTGCCCTTCAAACTTCTCTTACTTTGTTGCTTCTGGCGAGCTTTGTCACAGATGGCAGGACGAAGCTGCAGTCTGGTGCCGTTTGGTGGGGTGCAGCTTCTGGAACAAACCACCACACCAAGACAGGACTTCTTGAGGATCTGACAGTTGTGGTTGTTGGTGTTGCGCATAGCCCAACCACTGAGATGTCTCTGTGCATTCTTCTCCTCACTGGAGTAGATGAACCGCACATAGCCATCTGGCCATTCCTGGAAACTGTCAAAGTGCTTGGGCTCCTGCACAGAAATCACAGAAGTGTAGTTGCCAGGGAAGGACAACAGCAAGAAAGCAGTACACAAGAGAATGGTAAGAAGTGAGAATATAATTAACAGAGCATCTCTATGTACACTAATCAGGACAGCCTTTGCAGCCTGTGGCGTGAAACATAATAGAGAACAGCAGTAAACTTAGAACCACCAAGAACTACTACTGTAGTTAAAGTGTAGGACTATTCTGAAATGATCCTCTCTCAAAATGCTAGAAGCTAGGATTTCCTAGGTTAATATCTTTTACTGGACCAACTCTGTAGTTAGGATAAAGTTAGATAAGTCTTTGAATGCAAGCTTTGCAAATGCAGGTCTCACCTGATGAAGAATGGCTTGCATTTGAATGCTTATCTAACTTTACCCCAACTATGGAGCTGGTGTAAGAAATCTTTGCCTCCCGCATAATTTCTGGACCATCACAGACATTGTATGTCTTCGTGATTTCAGATCAAATGTGTTCCATTCCCATACAAAATGACCTTTTTTCATGTCAGTCCTGTAAGTTGAACCTTAGATGTGAGAATCAGGTGGGCTCCTTTCCTCCTATGCATCATCCCCTGTAATAAATATTTCTTTGGTCACTGATACCTATGCAATAATGCTATAAAGTTGTAACAGATTGTCCCTGTACCTAGAAGTTAATGACAATTCTGTTGTTGATGCACAAGTGTCACTAGAATCCAGCTCTCTGCCTTTTACTCTCTCTTAATTGCAGGAGTGTGGGTTTATAGATTGATAAAAGCCAAGATTTCATGAATAGATGCCTTAGTTTTGTGACTATTTCTTAAAATGATTTCTTGATGCTGGATGTTATTAGTTTTTATAACAAGCCTTGAACAGACCTTCCACCAAAACTATATAGACTCGTTGAAATGTGTACATCCTGTGTAACGCAAGAATATACTCAAAGTCATTTAAAAGAGGGATATTTTATAATTGGAATGTTATCACTTACTTAAAAAAATTGTCTACCATAATATAAGTACAAAAAAGGTTGAGATTTCTAAATCATTTGATTTATATCGTTAACAAAGAGAAATAAAATAATGATCGAGCTGTTATGCATATGAGTTCTCTGTGAAACCAAGCTACTGGCATACATAAAATTAAGCCTATCTATTAGGATTTGCAGGAGGAAATTCTAAATAATTACAGAATAATTATTAGGAGTAAAAAAAAAGTTAAAAAGTAAAAACAAAAAACCCAGCCTTTGGGGGTTAAACTAACAAAAATATCTATTTGGTGATCTAGTCAATATTAAAATCTATTTAACAAGACATTTTAAATGTGTTGAATTCTAGCAGCACCTGCCAAAAGCAGCCTATCTTTAGGAAGGGGGAAAATGTTCAAACACTGGACTTGAAGCATGATTCATCAGAGCTATTTGGATTATCTCTCTTGTCTACCTTTTGGTTACTAACTGTTCCATAAACCATGTCAGATTTCAGCCAGATCCTTGCCATTACATTTGCAAGTGGAACAGTTTCTTACTTAACATAACTGTTCACATTTACAGAAACCAATGCTGAAACAGTCATTCCAAACCATAAGGAAGTCTATGGAATTTGTGGGTGGCTGGGGGATGTCTAAGTATCTTTGAGCATCTGAGCCCTAGCTCTTCAATTCATGATCTTTCTTCCTGCAGTTATTGTGCTTTAGCAAAGTTGAGAAATATAGATTTCCTCTGCTTACACTGAAGTGCCAAGACTGTCTGAGTAACTGGAAAGTCAAGCCAGGTAGTTAGAGACCGAGTCCTGAACATACTAGGGATCTGGAGAGGAGGTTAGAACTAGCTTTGCACTGTAAGTGCCATTGGAGAACATCAATTTTTGAACTTCCAAGTAAACCCAGACCACAATACTGTAAGCCTTAACATCGTTCTCTTCAATCACATCACACCCCCGGTCCCACTGAAGTCGGTGGGAAGTTTGCCTCTGATTTCAGTGAACCCAGGATTTCACCCCTCCTCCTCCATAACAAATTACTAGGGTTATTACCAGGCACCACCTTGCTCTTCAACTCCCGTCCACCTGGCGTATGTTTAGCTCAGCGTCCAAGGTCCAAGAAGAGCAAGGTGGTGGCTGGTAATAACCCTAACAATTTGCTAGTGAGGAGTTGTTAGCTTGATCTTCAACCTTGCTCTCGGAGCCTGATTACCCCAGTAATTTGTCATAGAGGAGTTAGCCTGATCTTTAATGCGATTGCCAAACTGGTCAACATACCGCATCAGCCCTTGGGAGGCAGACACACGTTCTATCTACTGTGAATGAAACTGCAGCGCACTATGCACCACCACGCGGCTCTCCCCCAGTCTCAGATGAGCCCTGGTTTGTTTGGGGGGTTTTTTGTGAGTGTGTCTTGTTTTTTTAATCTCCCTTTGCTCACTTCCCTCTTTGCTATATGTCTTCATGGGCCGGAAAAGAACAGATCTGCCCACCCCTCTTTGGCTCAGGGCTCGCTGGGGATAGATGCAGCCTTCCCCCCCACCCCCAGTTCCTACCTGCGGCAGCTTGGGGTCATTGATGTCCCAGGTTAACTTCATGCCATAGGAGCAGGCACAGTCC